TCCACCCTGCAACTTGCAACTTTAACAGACCCCGTCCATATGTATGTAACATAAGCATCTTATGTATCTGATTTCTTTATTCATTTACCACTTGGCAATAAAAACATCAACATAAGCATCTTATGTATCTGATTTCCTTATTCATTTACCACTTAGCAATAAAAACATAAGCACAAGTATGGAAAAGAAAACTTAGTTCCAAAACACAACAGATAATTTCGAAACAGGAAGGGGGTGGGGGGGGGAGAAGCAAGCATTTAGTTCCAAAACACAACAGATAATTTCAAAACAGGAGGGGGGCGGGGAGAAGCAAGCAAGCAAGCTAATGAGGCTAAAAGGGTCCTGACCTTGAGTTCCAACAAAGCCCTGCAGTTCTCCGGGCAGCGTAGTGTGAGCTTTGATCTTCACTGCTGAGCCAAAATCTCCCAGCTTGAGACAGTTTCCTTCATCTGTTAGGAAGATATTTGCACCTAGAAGAATGGAAAAAGTTACTGGTAATATTACTCTACTTTTATACAACACGAACCCAGTTGAGGACCAAGGTTGTGTGTACCGACGACTGACAAAGTAAAACCAAAGAACTTGGAGAGAAATCTAACTCAATGCCACTTTGTCCATCACAAGTACCTATGCTTTGTCTGGTACTGAACGTAACTCTGAAAGCATCACTTAAATGCTTGAGCTATGGTACAGCATTCTTACTTGCACATAATCGTCATATTTCTAGAAGTGGGACCAGATCACAAATATGAACAGAAGACACAACATCACATTTTGTTAGATTGTCAGGTAAAGTGGCAGACCTAAATGAGCATACTAAAATCTCACCAAAGCCTCAATAAAGAGGACCTGTAGTGGTAATTTACTTTTAATGTCACGATGTACAACGCCATGATCATGGAGAGCAGCCACTGCCTGCAGCAGCTGCCGAGTGTATCGACGGATCAGAACTTCGGGCAGACCGCTGGTCTCTGCTGCAGCTACAAGACTCTCCAAAGTGCCTTCTGTACAGAACTCCATGAAGATAAGCATCTCTTCCTGCAACATCACAATTAACATTTCTCTAATCCACAAATTTTAAAGTAATAATTAGGGATTTCCAACATCAGAAAAACTGATTCCTTAATACTTTATAGGTAAGTACATAAGCATGACTCATCAAGATAAAATTAAAATACATAAAAAATTATCAATATTATAAAACTATATTAAATTCATGTCTCTAAAGAAAAATTAAACAAAGAAATATCTACATTCCGAACAAGTTATGCAGAACATCAAAAGCATGTTCCTTCAAGAAAGTGTATACATTTTTACTTAACACTCTGGTTGAACTTCGTAACTGGTACAGGCCTCAATGCAACATTTAAAAACATTAACATCATGAAATATCTCTTCTTTTAATTACAATTCTCCCCCCCCCAACTTCCTCTAAATATATCTTACTAATTGCATTTTAAAAATACATACAATTTTGTACAAGTGTTTTATTATATATTTAATCATACATTTATCATCAACTTGTAAGCGAGATCTTCATTTATATTACACAAACATTTTTCACTCCACTTCTTCGTTTCCACGCATTTTACGTATATGTACAGAATCTTCATGCTCACTGCACAGACAGCATTTTCTTTTCTCAAAATTCTTTCCTCATCCTTCTCAATTTCCAATTACCAGATTTAAACCAATTTAAGCCATTTCTCTCATTTCTTCTATCGGAGACTGTGTACAGGCTAAAAATAATAAGACAAAACACGGCCCTTAGCATTTTCTGAACTCCCACAAAAGTGATACTGGAGAAACAAACAGCTGTAACATCTCTTCCTCTGACCTTCAACATATGAAACAACACATGGTCAACAGCCCAACAGTCTAGTCATGTTGCAGCGGAAACTCCGTGTAGTCCCATAAGTCTGTTTGGTTGGAACCATATTGAGCACATAAGAGGGGGGGGGGGGGGGGGGGGACTTACTCTGTGTATTTCCACACCATAGTAGCGCACTAGGTTGCTGTGATGTATCCCTTCAAATATGCGCAACTCTTCTGCCACCCTGCGGATTGTTCTGTGGTCATTAGGCTGCAACTGAATCTCCTTCATTGCCATTAGTTCACCGGTCTCATTGTTGACAGCGGTGTACACTTTACCAAATCGGCCTTGACCTGCGCACAAACGCAAGCAAAATAATGTGAACAGAAAAATAATCACTCCATCAGAGATGAATTCACACTTACAATAAAACTACATTAAACTGTCATGATTAACTGATAAATAATTTTTAATCACTCAATATTTAATTTAAAGGGGTAATCAATTAAGCCTGCAGTATCTTGAATCTTAAACTCAGGATGAGAAATTTGCTTCAGATATTGTATACATTTTTCATGTTTGCTATACTGTATGTTTTTAAAAGTTATTTATGAGTTTTCTCAATTTTGAACTTCAAGATTTCGCTCACTGCCAGAACCTTCGTTCAGCTTTTCTAGGTTCAGTCTTCAAATTATAAAATTCATATTTCTGTTAAAAAGAAGTACATTTCCTTTGCCTTATTACAGAGATGACTAATGATAAATGATATAAGGATTTCAATAAGATGAAAATATAATTTGGAATTGTGAGGAGAAAACATTTAGAAAATGCTGATGAGAAAATATGAATTTTGATTTTTTGAGGTGAGGGAATATGTTACAACCGCCAATCACTAGAAGGAATAAATGATCAATTCAATGTACAATCTTATTTACAAATTATTCACTGCAAAAAACAGTTTCATTTCTAGCATAAAAACAAAAGTTTTTAATTGATGTCAGTGGCGGAAGAAACCATTTCCATCTGTTCCAATAAATTAATCTTATATATTTACTTCTTAGTGAAGTTTCTAGGACTCATTAAATAAGAATGATTACAAGAGCTTCAGCTTACATATTCATACCAGATAGCCACAGCATCCCTCAGAAAATAATGGATTGTAAGATGAATTACAAGGAATTTCTTTTCCAAATACAAGGTGATGCTTAAATAAAAATACTCTGAAAATCTACAGATGATTTATCAATAGACCACATACAATATTTATTTTTATAAATATCCGATTTATTCTTTGGCTATTAAAATATATTACTTAAAATGCAGAGTATAAACAATACCAAAAGACATGGAAGATGATCATGAATTGTGAGTAGGTAAGGATACGGAAGGAGGCACTCATGATCTGTCTCAGGTAGTGTCTGAGTATTGGCCTGGAAAGACTAATTAAAACTATAAAAAACAGTCAGGACAGCTGATATTTAGACCCAGTACCTGCTGAATACAAGTCTAGGGCTTTAGTATTACACCAAGTCTAACTTCTAGAGATGCTACAGTGACTTTAGGGAATCAACACCGAAGAAAACAGCAAATTATTTCCTACTGATAAAAATCTATGATGTCGGAAGTATTCTGTCTAAATTCACAGCAATAAGCATTACCTACTGTTACAGTAAACTAACTTATTCAACTGTCCAGAACTTGTTTATTAGAGACAAAGAAGCCAGTCATTTCATAATGGAAGTCTGGCAACTGTAAATTAAAAACAGATGGACAAAGAAGGCTCTGAGGCATAGAATTACATAATAAAAAATATCTGACAGATGCACATTACAGGCCAGAAAGACAAAACTAACACTGTAATATGTGAAATAAAACACAGGCCCTTCAGAATACATAAACAACACTGCAATGATGGAATGAAGAAGAGAGGATTTCCCTTTACAAATAAAGTTTGTAACATAACTAAGACACCCAATCAAGAAGAAAAATGAAAGAGTAAGTTTATCAAACACTGCAAGTATGGTGCCCACAGACAGTGCTATTCAAATGCAAAGATTAGCACACCATGCTAATTTTTAATAGTGCTATTCAAATGCAAAGATTAGCACGCCATGCTAATTTTTTAACATTGAAAGTTATGGACATAAGTTAATGGTAGTTCATGCTCTAAAATCATAATCAGACTTTTCATTATGAAATGTTCTCCATCCTCTTGTTACTTCTCCTCTCTCTTATCTTCAAAAAAAATGTCTCTGCATCGTACTTTCAAAGGCCCTCAACCTACACCAACTTAAACTTCACAAGGCATTCTACATGTCACAGGCACGGTTCTGGCAACCACTTCATCATTTGTACAGGAAGTGCTACTACCTGATTCTAGCTGGCCAATAACTAATAAATTAGAAATAATAACTGATACAGACATAATGAAGTGATACAATAATTACTAAAAGACTTGATTTTCATATATTTTGTGCATCAACGATCATTCTCAGCACAAATATTTTTTCAAAGAACATATTAAAGAATCAACTGGTTACCAAATTAAAATGTTTGTTTCAATTCTGTCACAAGTGAACATGAATTTCTTCTCAGTCCTGTAGGGGAAGAAAAAAACAACCACCAAAGCATCAGTGAGTAAAGGAGAAACAAAAAGACAAGCAGCCTGCAGACACTTAAGTTGGTAAACCCATCAGAAATGATACTGCCCACATGTTCAGCAGCTTCAACAGAGCACAGTGCTACACAGATCACTGATCAACATGAAAATTGTCCATTCAGTCATTTCAGTGTTACTTTTAAGCCTTATGTATGTGTTTATTTATGCACAAAATGAAAACAAAGACAGGGCTCAAAATTCTCAATTTCAGCTACCATCATTCAATGTTGCGCAAAAGGGCCGTCAAGGACGAAGAAGTGCTCGGATAAGGGACACCGAAGGCACGGCAGGTCTCAGTGAAGGGACCAGAAATTCTGTGGTGAGATTACCTTGAGGTTTTTTTTCTTGCATGTTCATTTATTGATTTTTGGGTTATTACATGACGCTGGATGAGAAGGAAAGATGAATGTTACTGTGGCCTGTTTCAAGATATTATCCTACAATTTCTTGGAGAATTAGATAAATTATGAAACCCTCGGTAAGAAACCAAGTACCACCCAAAACATAAATCTAGATCATTAATGTTATTCCAACTTGACTTTCCTAAATTTTTTGGTAGTCACACACATGCTAAGAAATACATGAGTAATTACCACAGTACATTACATCATAACATCTTCATCTTGCAACAAGTTCTCTGCATTCTTACTCTTTCCACCTTATCCTAAAAAAATCTTATAGTCATCCATTCATAACACATGTCCATGCAAGTGTATCCTCAATGGCGTACTTTCTTTTCATAATGTCGCTACTCTCGCATCTTTGCCTAATGTCAGGGTTTCAAACTTCATCCCTTCTTGTTTATTTCATAATACTTCACAAAAACTGTATCTATAGTGCTTGTCATGTTTTATGTAACGCAATTAAAACTGTTCTTGACACTTCCAAATTCCAAATCATATCTTTAATAGTCTGCCACAATTTCCCAGCTCTATGGCTTCCATATGTAAATTCATACTGGATTTTTCCATGTCACAAAATGTTGCTGTCAAAATAAGAGGGGATTTAAAAAAAAGCATTCCAATGTCAGGGCCATTAATCTTTTTAAATGAGGAAAAAGGCATATTTTTCACTCCAGGTTCAAAATGCATCTACCCTTGTGTTGCCTTCTGGGTCAAGAGATCTGGATCCAAGTGGAACAAACCCCAGTACATCTGAAGATGGACAGCTGCTGGACAGAGCAATTCAACTGTTACAGCGAATCAGTGACCGTATGACTGCACTGAATGCACTATATGAGCAGCAGCTTAGAAGACTTGAAACTTTAGAGTACAGGTAAGAAATAACAACAATCTTAACAAGCGCACTCTGCAAATCTAGCTTCTAACGAAGATTTCTTCTAAGTGAATAACCAATGAAGGTACAAACACAGTCAAATAAAGACAAATAATGTACATTTATGTATGTGTTTACACATGTGACGAAGAATAGGGTTATGTATTGGACTTGCTCAGGGATTTTGCTAATTTGTCAATGAGGTTCACTACTAAATTTTCAAAAGCTGCAGATAAGAGTTAAATTCTTTATTTCTTCAAACTGAAAAGAGTATTTTTTTAACTCATTCTTTCCTTTTGCCAGTAGAAAAATACACATCACACCATTAGTTACTTTGTCTGGCAGTAAGGTATCGTTGGTTTTTTTCACAAAACATACTAATAAAAATGTATTGTAATAAGTGAGCACCAGGCACTCTTTTTTTCACAAAACATACTAATAAAAAATTTATTGTAATAAGTGAGCACCAGGCACTTAAACAAGAACAAGCTCCTTAATTTCACAATCGACTTTTGTGAACATGACAATGACCCTTCAAGTTCCATAAAATAGAAATTTTTCTGTTTAGCTGAGTAACTATCATACCCTGCACCATTGCATTAATTAGTTTCAATGTTCTTCAGGCTCACAAAGATGGAAGTGCAAACACAGGAGAGAAATGATGGAATCAAGTCCGAACTAAGGGAAGTATCGCAGCGGGTACGGCAGTTGGACTGGCAGAATAGCAAGATGGAGGCTGCACTGGAGGCTATTAAGATTGACACCACTGGGCTCAAACACGGGCAAGACCAGATACGTGGCTATCAGGCTGGGTCAGGTGATTGTGGAAGAATATTCCACACAAGAACATGTTTAACTCTAGACAATGAGCTTACCGACTTTTATCTTGCATGTTTACTTCACACTTCTAAGTTTCATGGATCAAATCATAAGGTTATCTACAATAGTTGGTGATGATAATAAATTTTTCTCAGACCTTCCATTGTCTTTTACACAACATTTAACAGATTGCTGACTGAATGATTAATCAGTTCCTTGCTTATTTAACAACTTTCAAATGCATAAATTATTTTTTGTTGAGAATGAGCCCGACCATCATCACTAAGACAAATGTATCTCTGACTGTGTGTCACTACCCTACAATACATCAAACCTCATTCGTATGTAATAATTCTAAATATAATATAATCCTAATGCCGCCTCCTTATGAATCCAAAACTTCATGACCAGAAATGTTCACGTAATATTCGGTTAAACATATGCACCAATAATTCACAATCATGAATCCCAAATGAAAATCAGTGGCATGTTCGACCAAACACATTATCAGACAAAACTATGGTGAGATTGTTATTTTCATATGCATATGCACAATTTCTTACAGAAAGAAAGGTGTTAGATCTAGCGGAAGATGACCTGAATAACAGATTACAAATGACGATGACTGCTGTTTCCACCATACGTGCTGCAATAGGACACATAAAAGACGATTATGATATCCTCAAACTGAACATCACAAAACTAAGTAATATGACAAGGTATTAGCAGTTTAACAGTTATAATGAAATATTAGTTTTTAAAAATGCGACGAGTGCAGACATCTACAGAGTGTGACAGAGAAAATGGATTTCTGCATTCTTGAAAATTGTTCAATTAATTACGGAATGTAGATTTATAAATTACGAAGTAATGTAAAACTTGGAATTTAGGAATGATGCACATATTGATAGATGTAGCATATGGTTCCTTTCTCTGAGATGCAATCATGTCATAAACCTCGTCATACGTTTATGCGGGTGTAATTTTGATCGCAACATACAAGTGGCAGTAAAGATGGACACTGGATACATAATTAGCAGAGCACTGTATTGCACAAGTGTTGTGACATGTTATAAATGGTTTAATAAGGATCCTTCTGGGGAAGGGAACTATTTTCCGGAAATGAAACATGTGCACCACATTTAATTTCATAGTTTTACATATATGGCAATGTGTAAATTTATGTTCCTATATAAATAAAACAATTTATTCACAGATGAAGTCATCTGTATCTGACTCTACATATACCTATGTGCTTTTTGGAAAATTATAGTATAAGTATTTCATACCAATACCATATCACTTATATTTAAAAGTGGTATTGCTTGCCAACCATTAAGACATTCAATTATAATGGGTGATGCTAATTTTTTTACCTACCCGATAGGTAATATATTGAGATGTGTCATACATTTGTAAATAAAATGTTCTCAGTCACTACATGAAGGTCAGTTAATGCAGATTTCAAGCCTCCAAGTAGTTTTTAATCTTTCATCTATATTTGATCACTCTTCTAGCCATATGATGGGGATCAGTGGACAGTTCCTCACCAAGCAGTACTTTACGAACGCGATGCTAGACTTGAAACATGAGTCCATCTCACCAGTAAAAGTTCTACCACAAGCACAGCTTGCCTCTGTCAACTGCCCCAGTGATCAGGCTCTGCCACGGGACTGCTGGGAAGTGCAGCAGCAAGGCCACAACATTTCAGGCATTTACAGGATCAAACCCGCTCTCTCTTCTGTACCTTTCTTTGTGTACTGCCAGTTGGAGACAAGAGGAGGAGGTTGGACTGTAAGTTGTATATTAACATGTTAAGGACAACATTTCTTATGCCCTTCTTGCTAGCAAATACTGCCATATTATATGACGGCCCCATGCTGGGTACTATTAATATGATGACTAAGTTAACTCCTTTGCAAGGATGAATATTTTTTCATGAGATTTGTGTTTCTACATGGATATATAAAACTGGAAACAAAAATGTCTGTGTCCATAAAAATTTGAAAGTGTGTTTTGTGGAACTGCTTCATATACTGTATTCTATAGTTCAAATAATTTTATCGTAACAGGTGGTACAAAATCGTTATGAAGGCACTGTGGATTTCTACCGAGGCTGGCATGATTACAAACACGGGTTTGGTAATATTGGGGGAGAATTCTGGCTTGGTCTTGAGAAGCTTCACACATTAACAAATTACAAGGTAATTTTGGTTTGACAGCAAATACTATGATAATAAATGTATCTATTATTTTCCTATTCTAAATCCCACTACTACTATTCCAGGTAACTGAATTACTGATAGAATTGCAAGATTTCAACTTGGAAAAATCTTATGCCCTCTACTCAGCCTTTGCCATTGGTACAGAAGTGGAGGGATATTCAGTCTCTTTCTTAGGAAGTTATGAAGGAGATGCAGGTATAGAAAACAATAAGCATTAGGGAACTAACTATTGTAATCAAAACTCAATAAATTAGTCCTAATAACATATCATGTACTGTACAAGTGTCCCAATACCTGAAACCACAGACAACACATATCTTGTCTTCGTCATAGTTATGGGTGAAAAAAGATAAGTGAAGGTAATTCTTCCATATAGGGTCACAGCCAGCAATGAGTTGCGTAAGTTGGTGCAAGTATTGAGAATACTTTATAACAGCTGTGTCAGAACTCTGATAGTGCCTGTGGTTCCAGACTTATGGGACACCTGCAGTTACATAAAACCAGATTATTATAAACTTACAACAAAACTGTGTTTAATTGAAATCCACAGGAGATTCACTGGTGTACCATGCTGGCATGAAATTCTCAACTTATGACATGGATCATGATAACTGGCATGATGGAAACTGTGCAGAATCCCATACTGGAGCATGGTGGTACAATGGATGTGACACCAGGTATAAACAACTACAAACTCAAAACAGTGCAGACATCTACAGTACAGAACAAAAAATCCAGAAACGATCTACGCTTAGAGAACCAAGTGCCTGCCAGTATGTTGCTGTTTTCTTTGGATTTAAATACAGGATGTAAAACCAAAGCGGAACACATCATCAGGAAGACCTAGGTGCAGCTAGGAGAATAATACCAAAATGTATCTTAAAAAGATTTTGTGTGAAGGCGTATGGGTTTCATTCAACTGACACCATCATTTGGTGAATGTATGGAGCCTTAATTCCTCCTTCCCATATACATCTTCATGGTGTAGTGCTCAGCAAGAGACTCAAAGTTTCTTTACTTAGTTACGTTATGCCCAATCATTCTTACTCATAAAAATAGGCACCAAGAACTAGTTAACACTTTTCATGCATTTTGAAACAAAAGTAGTTAGCTTAAAATGCAAATGTTAGCACGATGAAGTACTGTTCTTAAATATAAGAACTTATAAATCAGTCAGGAAAGCATATTCACATAAGAGTCCACCAAATGTTATAAAGAAAACTACACAACCAAATTAATGTTAAACCTCTTTCTTTGCAGCAACCTAAATGGCCGGTACCTGAATGGAGAGCTTCCAGAAATGTTTGAGTACCAGGGAATGTACTGGTATGACTGGCATGGTCCAGGTTACTCCCTCATGAAATCACGCATCTCGGTACGTTCAAGCAAGCATTCACACTCGCATCTGAGAGTGCAAGATGCCAAACGAACAACCAATAAAACTAACAAGATCCAAGGGAAGAGGAAGCATCCTACTGTTCAAACAATCTATGGGAATGCTACGAGACACAGAGAATACGGACCACGGCTGAACATCACTGAAAAAAGTCTTAAAGAAAACCTAGGAAAAGAAGACAGCCCTCCAATAAATGAAAACACAAACGGAGAGTTTCACCACTTTACAGAATATCCAGAATCGTCTTCACAGTATGGCAGTAACACTTATGATTACCAACCTTGATGTTATGACATGAACAACACGAGTATGCTCAGATTTAACAGTTTCATGTAAAAGAATTAATTCACAAGTCTTAAAGAATCCAAATAGTCATTCCTTGCATTGAAGTATATTTTATTGCAATAATCAGTTCATATGATTGATGATGTTTTTCTTATGATCTTGATTTCACTGTCTTCAGATGAAGGTGAGACAAAAAAGGTGCATGAATTAAGAAGATTTCTGTCTTCTGGGATGTTGCGCTGTGTAGTCTGGTCGATGTTAACCAACGTGTCTGAGGTCATACTGCCTCCGTCATCAGGGCGATTAGTATGAAGATTTCTGTCTTCTGAGTTGTTGCGCTGTGTAGTCTGGTAGATGTTTACCAATGTTTCAGAGGTCATACTGCCTCCGTCATCAGGGCGATGAATATTCACACAGCGCAACAACCCAGAAGACAGAAATCTTCATACTCACCGCTGTGAAAACCTCAAATCTTACATGCATGAATTAAATTTACATCTTGTGAATGACAACAATAACGTTAACCACCAATTAACATTTTTATCACTTACTAGGCCTGTAAACTGCATCTGCAAACTGATGGTGCTACAAAAATGGGATGCCTTTCAAGAAAAAGGAATTCAAAGTCTGTAAACCATGTAATCACCACTGTCTCCATATGACATTATAGCCATTTTGAGGGACGCACAAATGTTACAATGTTAAACAGGTGTGTGATGATAGCAAATACTGAAAACCATGACTTACCAATCTTGATGCCTCTCTGCCAACTAAAGGTGACACTCCGTGATTTAATATGGATCTTGTCTTCAGACTCGGTATCAGTGACTGAACCTATCAGCTCTTGGATACGTAAGCTCTCCTCTAAGGATCTATCCAGTTTCTTGACAGCTTCTCGAACTCGTTCAATTCGAGGCAATGCTAAGGGAGCAAAACAAGGCATGGCACTTTCACATTGCAGCAACAACAGCAATTTATAACATAAAACCCTACTAAAACAAACTGTAAGAGAGATTTACATATGTTAACCTATTCGGTCCAAATGTCATCCTATCCTAACAATATAAGACAACAGTATGAAGATCCTCATTATATCACTGTCCAAATTCTTATGACTACTTCTGCCTGTCTACCTCTACTTCAGCAGTGTTTTCTCAAAAAACCTAAATATATTTCCCTTAAAGTAAGAGACAAGGTTTTACACCCGCATCAAACAACAGGTATAGGCTAACATATTTTCAAATTTCTAGGTATGAAATGAAAGTTCACTGTTATATATTATAAAATTTCTCCATCATGCAGGCCTGTTTCTTAAAATATATTACTTCTAATAACAAATTTAATGAATGAATTCTGTAATAACATGTCTTCACACTACATGTTTTCTTCAAACCATTTATTTTCATAACTGTCACGTATAAAATCTACATTAATATTTTCATACTCATCTCTTAATGTGAAAGTAAGTTACACCTACTTAAAACTAATCAATACAGTAATTTTAATGAACATAGAAAACATACCATTGTTCATGGAAAAAAAAACTATTTTAAGTCAAAATGATTCTTCCTCTTGGAAGAAGTTCTCTATAATAAGAATTTTCAGAGTCAAATAAAATTTTAAATTTAAATGCAGTTATTAAATATGCCCTTAAATTTTGCATAAATAAAGAATAATTTTATGGTTTGCCCATGGCAGTAAACAAATTACCACAATATCTTTATGATGATACCTACCTTTAAGAGGAATATGAAGGGTCTCAGCTACAGCTCCATCTAAACTTTCATCTACTGTTTCACTGGGACTGTCAGTACCACTATGACTGTTTTGAGCTGACAGCGAATGCTGGGTTGATGGTGGGGCTGGAGTTACTGCAGTATCGGGTTGGGAACGAGAGACTCTGTATGTAGGGGTCCTTGAGCGGGGAGAAGGTGAGGATCCCCGTGACCGAGGATAATGATCTAACGGTGACCGAGAATTGTGAGGGTGAAATGGGGGAGTACTGCTGGTAGGAGTTGCTGTCCCAATTACATGGGAAATACATTCATCAATACTACTTTTCAGAGCCTGAAAGAAAAGAAAAAAAAGTACCATTAAAACAAATGGTACAAAATATTAGTTTCTTAAACAAAATCATTTACCCCTAGCATAGAATATGCTTCTCTAGTCTTATTAATGCAGAAGACAAAAATTGGGTGCTATTTCACACATGATTTCAAGCACCTACATACCTACATGATCTGAACAGGAGCTCTAAATGCTTTATTTCAATACTACATTCCCTAGACTTACCTCAAACTGCTGATCATCAAGAAAGTTTGTATTTTGAGGTTCACAGACTGTCATGAGAAAATCCAAGCCCTGATTAGCCCATCTGGGCCTTAAACCCCTTCCTCGTTCACAGCGTTCCTTGACAAAGTGCATCCACTGTTGTGCAAAACTAATCATCCCACGGGCCAGTTTTTCACGAGCATCTCCTGTCACCAAGCGGCATACTTCTTTATGGTACTGCAAAAATTAAATGACATCTTTCATCCACAGAGATATATTCTTCCATTCTCAACTACATGGGTCAGTCAGACAGCATCAAATCGAAGAATGATTATGAATAATTAATTGCGAAGGTTGTGGAAGGAAGTGTTCAGAGGGTGTGAGGAACACCACAATAAACATATCAGCACAAACAGCCCTCAGGCCAAGATTTAAAACCAGTTACTGCTGGACTCAAACAGGAGTGCTAACAATTCAACCCTCAATCATCACAGTTGGAAATATATGGTATCCACCTACTCCATTTAATAAGTATAATGTCATAATCCATTGCAACAAAAAAACTGAACTTACCTCAAAATTAAGCCAGTAATGACTGAAGATTGCAATAACATAATCCAAGGACACTTTTGTGAGCCAACAAGCATTATTCCCATTCTTGTAATAACGGGTCCCAACAACGACCTTGGCCCACTGTTGCGACAGTGCAATTCAGCAATGGCCTCAGTTGAATTAAATAGTTTTCTGGATTTTATCCATCGTCCAATACTAAATAAAATCAATAAAATCCATGACGTTTCAGAGATGGGACTCTTATTTACGTCTTCAGGTAGACCTACTCTGTTGGGCCAAATCGATAGAGCTAATCCCTGTCTCCGAAATTCCGTGGATTTTATTGACTTTATTTAGTACTGGACGATGGATAATATCCAGAAAACTGTTTACTTCAACAATACACCATCGTCACAAACTTTCAGAATTGAATGGCATCAGTTTCCACTGACTGACTGACAGATGGGCCCTAAAGGTGTTGTTTAGTCACACTAGAGCATGAAGAACACTTAATAAACCATTATCAATTGGACAAAATTTAATGACTACTGGGAAATCAAATGAGTTTTGTAAGTTAGCAAAGGCATTCCTCTTACCTTCAGTTCTTCTAAAGCTTCAGCAATTATGGCATTGCATTTTGGACTAATTCCTTCTTTAAAAGCTCCATTCTCTAGATCTTTTCTGAGAGTTTTAGAGAAAGCAACAGCTTTTAAAGCTTTCTCGCGGGTCTCATTGAACAGAATTTGAAATTCTCTACATACTGTTAACATTGTTTGCCTGTAAACAAAGGATGAAAATTTCACACTGAACATTTGAGTATGGCTATGAAATAAGATAAATGCTCAATTATGAATCATTCATTTATGAAGTAAGACTACACATTCATGGCGTACAAATGATCACACTCATTACAGGGTTCCTAAATCTACAAAAACAAGAGAGAGATAAAGTAAGAACTAGAAAGACAAAGCTGGTGCTTAACTAAACACCATACCATGTAGATGTACAGAGGGCTAGATATATAGTTCCAGTCATTCTTAACCTTAACACTAGACAGAGACATAGTTTCACTCCCTGGCACCTGGCCCCAAGGGAAGAACTCCAGCACCTACAGGATAAGAAGCTGGATGGACCTCAGATCCAGTCTAATGATAAAAAGAAAATTCCTGCTCTGCCAGCAAACAGAACACTGGTCATCCAGCCTGTGGCCCGGTCACTACACTGACTGAGCTACTCCAGGAAAGACTTTGTTCTTCATAAACTGACCAAGAGAATATATATATGAAAACTTTTAAAATTAATGCACAACTTCCATCACAGTACCTGATAAAAGGGATAGACAACATGGTGGCTGTAATCAGTCATTTATACTGAAAAGGCAATATCACTGATTTTGAATTTACGAGAAGAAAGGTCCGTCCTGAACTTGAAGGTAAAATGTACATACTATATATATATATATGTAAGAATAATTTTCAGTGTGTGATTCTTATTAGGGGTGAGGGCCACCTTAGATTTGGAGTAGTCTATCATGTGGATAAATTTGGCAATTAAGAGGAGAAAGTGACAAACTCACTTGGGTGAAGATTCGTCATCTGATGCATCACAACTGCACATATTCTGTTTGAGTTGCTCACATTTTGATACAAGTTGAGTTGTAATGGCTCCGAGCATACTGCTGGCTATATGACTACAAGAAGAAAACAAATCATGCTTAATATAATTAGAATATTAACTATAATTAAGGTAATATAAATGTAATGAACAACCCTCAAGACAGACAAATTGATTCTTAAGTGACTTAAAATTATGTTTTAAGAATGTTGTTTACATAGCACTGAATGGAATGGGAAGCTGATAAATGGTGAGTAAGGGTTAGGAAGGAGGCAGTTATGGCTGTTTGAAGGTACTGTCCCAATACTCAATGGACAGACTGAGAAAAACCACAAGAGCTTCACTCAGATACTTAGCCTGAGATTTTAAGTCCATACCTCTCAAATACAAGTCTGAAATATTTACACTATATCCTAACTGAATTGGAAGTAAGTTACAGCTCAAAACAAGACTACATATGAACTACTAATCTGGAATAAGATGTAAACAATATGTACAAGCAGTCCAACAGGAAGAGCTTCTTACCAAAAAGTACTGCTTGCCATTCCCTTCCCACCAGGAATTTTTGGGCACGTTGTCCTCACAAAGCACCACTCCTCCTCCAACAGGCAACGTGACACCAGTGCACTCTTCTCCGTATCATCCACCTCAGACATATCTCGTACATCACAGGTTTCTTCTGCACTTTTTAAACTTGAAGTTATGGCAACTCGAAACGATAAAGTTTCTTTCTAAGAAAAAATTAAACCACACTTTCGTACACACTGATGCAATTAAGCCAGTAATGACTGAAGATTGCAATAACATAATCCAAGGACACTTTTGTGAGCCAACAAGCATTATTCCCATTCTTGTAATAACGGGTCCCAACAACGACCTTGGCCCACTGTTGCGACAGTGCAATTCAGCAATGGCCTCAGTTGAATTAAATAGTTTTCTGGATTTTATCCATCGTCCAATACTAAATAAAATCAATAAAATCCATGACGTTTCAGAGATGGGACTCTTATTTACGTCTTCAGGTAGACCTACTCTGTTGGGCCAAATCGATAGAGCTAATCCCTGTCTCCGAAATTCCGTGGATTTTATTGACTTTATTTAGTACTGGACGATGGATAATATCCAGAAAACTGTTTACTTCAACAATACACCATCGTCACAAACTTTCAGAATTGAATGGCATCAGTTTCCACTGACTGACTGACAGATGGGCCCTAAAGGTGTTGTTTAGTCACACTAGAGCATGAAGAACACTTAATAAACCATTATCAATTGGACAAAATTTAATGACTACTGGGAAATCAAATGAGTTTTGTAAGTTAGCAAAGGCATTCCTCTTACCTTCAGTTCTTCTAAAGCTTCAGCAATTATGGCATTGCATTTTGGACTAATTCCTTCTTTAAAAGCTCCATTCTCTAGATCTTTTCTGAGAGTTTTAGAGAAAGCAACAGCTTTTAAAGCTTTCTCGCGGGTCTCATTGAACAGAATTTGAAATTCTCTACATACTGTTAACATTGTTTGCCTGTAAACAAAGGATGAAAATTTCACACTGAACATTTGAGTATGGCTATGAAATAAGATAAATGCTCAATTATGAATCATTCATTTATGAAGTAAGACTACACATTCATGGCGTACAAATGATCACACTCATTACAGGGTTCCTAAATCTACAAAAACAAGAGAGAGATAAAGTAAGAACTAGAAAGACAAAGCTGGTGCTTAACTAAACACCATACCATGTAGATGTACAGAGGGCTAGATATATAGTTCCAGTCATTCTTAACCTTAACACTAGACAGAGACATAGTTTCACTCCCTGGCACCTGGCCCCAAGGGAAGAACTCCAGCACCTACAGGATAAGAAGCTGGATGGACCTCAGATCCAGTCTAATGATAAAAAGAAAATTCCTGCTCTGCCAGCAAACAGAACACTGGTCATCCAGCCTGTGGCCCGGTCACTACACTGACTGAGCTACTCCAGGAAAGACTTTGTTCTTCATAAACTGACCAAGAGAATATATATATGAAAACTTTTAAAATTAATGCACAACTTCCATCACAGTACCTGATAAAAGGGATAGACAACATGGTGGCTGTAATCAGTCATTTATACTGAAAAGGCAATATCACTGATTTTGAATTTACGAGAAGAAAGGTCCGTCCTGAACTTGAAGGTAAAATGTACATACTATATATATATATATGTAAGAATAATTTTCAGTGTGTGATTCTTATTAGGGGTGAGGGCCACCTTAGATTTGGAGTAGTCTATCATGTGGATAAATTTGGCAATTAAGAGGAGAAAGTGACAAACTCACTTGGGTGAAGATTCGTCATCTGATGCATCACAACTGCACATATTCTGTTTGAGTTGCTCACATTTTGATACAAGTTGAGTTGTAATGGCTCCGAGCATACTGCTGGCTATATGACTACAAGAAGAAAACAAATCATGCTTAATATAATTAGAATATTAACTATAATTAAGGTAATATAAATGTAATGAACAACCCTCAAGACAGACAAATTGATTCTTAAGTGACTTAAAATTATGTTTTAAGAATGTTGTTTACATAGCACTGAATGGAATGGGAAGCTGATAAATGGTGAGTAAGGGTTAGGAAGGAGGCAGTTATGGCTGTTTGAAGGTACTGTCCCAATACTCAATGGACAGACTGAGAAAAACCACAAGAGCTTCACTCAGATACTTAGCCTGAGATTTTAAGTCCATACCTCTCAAATACAAGTCTGAAATATTTACACTATATCCTAACTGAATTGGAAGTAAGTTACAGCTCAAAACAAGACTACATATGAACTACTAATCTGGAATAAGATGTAAACAATATGTACAAGCAGTCCAACAGGAAGAGCTTCTTACCAAAAAGTACTGCTTGCCATTCCCTTCCCACCAGGAATTTTTGGGCACGTTGTCCTCACAAAGCACCACTCCTCCTCCAACAGGTTCTTCTGGTAACCCTCCTGTTGCACCATAAGCACCCACTGTTGCACATATTCAAGATAAACCTGACAACAAGACAGAGCAAGAAATTTACATTAAATTCTCACTATCTGTAACCATACATTTGTGAACATAAATAAAAAAAATACATTTTTTACAAAAGGAAGATGCTGCCCATAATGCAAACATATAATCCAGCCAAATGTGCTGTAAAAATGCGTATGAAATATATATATACTGCAAATGAGACAAACATGGACCATACATAAATATCACTCCTAATAATGGACTATAATTCTGGAATAAAAGCTTGACCTACAATAAGCAAATAAGAATAAATCATTCAGTTACTGTATGAACAACAGCAACAGCATATGTCACAAATATAAAGAACCATTTTTATATTAATAAATTGAAGGTTTTGTACTTATATATAATCTCCACAAAAGCACCGTGCCTTAAAATTTAGATTACATTTTACCTTGTAATTTTTTAAACTGCGATACAGACTTATCCTATTCACTTTTTTGAATCAGAATATCAGTGTCTTTATACAACTATAATGTTTTTCTTGTTTTATAAGGGAATGAAATTTGGTCTTTCTTTCTAAAGGAAGAATACAGAATGAGGGTTTATGATAATAAAGTGCTGAAGGAAATATTTGGACTAAGGAGAGATGAAATAGCAATGTAATGACACCCCATAAAAAAAAGCTTCACCTAATATTATGAGGGTGATTCAATCAAGATGGATAGGATTGGGAACCATATAGCACAAATGACAGAAATGAGAAATGCACACAACATTTTGGCTGAAAAACCTCAGTGGAAGTGACTATTTTGAATACCTAAATAAAGATGGGAAGATAATATTAAGATAGACCTTAGAACATGAAAGGGGTGTGAAAATGTGAGCTAAATTCACCTAGCTCACAACAGGATCCAATGGCTGGCTTTAGCAACCGTAACAGTGAACCACTGGCTTCCATAAAAAAGGAAATTTCTTGATCAGCATCAAAACTAAACTCTTCTAGGAAGATCCTGTACCATGGGTCATATTAGTATCTATCCAATGTATTACTTTCCATTTACTTTGTAAAATTACACACACACAAGGAACCAAAACTTCTGCTACACAAGAAGAAGAAGAAGAAGAAGAAGAAGGGAAAAAACAACAACAGACTTGATGTCTTACCTTAAGGACAGCTTTCATACTCTGATCAAATTCAGACACTACTGATTCATATAATTCTAGCGTTTCTTTTTCCTTGTCCCATAGAACTGTATGGATCAAAGTCAGATACCTCTGTCGGTGTAGCACAGCAATTCGGAGTCCTTCCTTCAACTCCCTCATCAACTGCAAGAAAACATGGATATATACGATCAACACATGACAGTAATAAGATTACCTATAAAACAGACACAATGCAGAGTTACCCTGATCTCTTTCATTTGATTATACAGCCTCCATAAAGACACAATTTTATTGGTTGACTGAAAACCCTGACACAAATGAATGTCATGCTTACCTGACGGATACTCAATACTGATGGCTGATTTGGTTTCTGTTCAAGGCGCATACGAAGGAACTCATGAATCATCTCAAGTGGTATACGTGACAGAAACAAAAAAGCTGCCCGATATGAGGGCAGACCAAGAGACTGTGCTTCACAGCTCCAAAAGCCATAACGGCGTAATTCCTCTTCCTCGTCATCTTCAGAATGTTCAACAGTCTCGGCGAGAGTGATCTCCTGTTGTGATGATAAAGCATCACTCTTTGAAAAATAAATTAAAAAGTCATAATTAGAAATTAAGATTCTAATTAGTGGACCAGTCACCATTAAAACAGATTAAAGATGTTACATTGGAGAGAAAAAGGGAAGAATGGCCTTAAACTATGAAAACTTAACTGAAGTTCACCACATGGATGACCTTTACCATTCTCTTTTCCTATATACATACTTTGTATCTTTCACTTATATTTTGTTTAAGGTTCCTAGTTTTGATGGGAATGAGGATTACACAACCTTAAGAGGCATATGGAAATTCAGCAGTCTGTGCATCAGAGAACCATTAAACATGGCGTTAGAGCCCAGCCAGCAGGACCATAGTACACAGCTTTAAATCCCCTACTGTCATATGACAAAGTTTAGTACCTGTACTACAATCTTTGTGCTGGATATTACTTGTGCCAGTCTGAAGACATCTTGAGAGAGGAGTTTACAGGCAAAATTATATTAATCATGGCTTCAGTTATTGTCATATTAGTATAAAACAGTAAGATAGACATTATTCATAAAACTGGAATTTCTGTTACATTAAAACTGGCAGTAATGAAATGCCTTAATATGCTACCAAGGTTCACAATTTTCAAGCAATAGAAATTTTATTTCCTTCAACACTTCTATGCCACCTTTTTATTGTACTATGTACCTAGATCACTGCCTTTTTCCAAAGTCTGTCAGATCTGTATTACATGCACTTGCCTTTTCTGCAGTGTCATTATTATTTATGACAACGTAAGCAGATTCAGCTGGTTTTGCCAAAGTAATCATTGCCTTTCGGAGCACATAATGGTGTAGCTTTTCTAAGAAATTTATTGCTTTCCTCAAGCCTCTTGTTTTCAGAACTTCTTCCATGTATTTCCTGCATAAAAAATAACTTCTTCAATAAAATCATGTAAATCTGAAATATGAGGTTGTCACATGAGTGAAGATGTCAATACTGTTCATATGAAAATGAAGATACCAAAACAACAGTGGACAAATACACCCTTGAGTGCTAAATTAAAAATGTATGATTGTTTATTGGTTGCATAATCATAAGTTATTGTAAATCAAGTTGTCATATATTGATAAGAGGGAAAATTTAATGGATCTGACTTAATATCACAGTTTGATACTCAGGGTGCTGTTATCAAATAGAAGAACAGACATGACAAAAACTGGTAAGTGATTTTCCAAAATGTTAATTCAGAAAATACCCAAGTTCAGACTTGAAATTAACACCTTACTTATTAATGATGAGAGACAAACATAACAGCGGACATCAAATCACATGTTCACTTTTTCTCATTTTTACCGATCTAAAAAATTTGTTCCGAGTAGTAAGGGCTATATCTTCAGCTGTACAGCAATTTTATAACTTTGTTCTACCTTACCTATAAGGGTATGTTGACTCCTTGTAGGAACAAAATGTTGAGCCCATGCTTGCAATCATTGATGCACTGTAAAAATACACTTGACATTCTGTAGGTTCTAGTCCTCCATCTGATGATGAGGTGGTAGTTGTACCATGTGAGAAATTTGAATTATTTGAATCTGATGGACTACTGCTGTCCACATCAAACTGGACAGTTCTGTTGTGAAGTCGGAATGGTTTCCCTTCAACCGAACCACTTCTGCAAAACAGAAATACGTACAAACAGACCGAGGAGGAATACAAACTAGTATCAAACCATCAAACTATCACGATCACATTTATTAAAGTGCTTCCCAATGGAATTAAAGTCTGTAAATAAGTATATACCTAAAAGATAATTAATTAGTATGCAAAACAAACTGAAACATCTCTAAAATATTGGTAACTGGCTACAAAACTACATAGTGTCACAGCTCAGAAGATAACAATTTGAAATGAAAGTACAATTGCTGTTCTTCTGTGTCACCACTTACCTAGAAGTGTGACGAAAATCTTGGTAATAATTATCATCACTTATGTCTGTTCCAACACCAGATGACACATTTGGATCATCCTCATTTAAGGGTCCCACTTGAGGCCAACTATAATTCTTTGGTTGATGAAGATACATAAGCTTCCCGATGATCAGCATTTTAAGGCGGTGATGTTTTGTCATGTTGTACCATAAGCACATTGCCTGCATGAAACAAGAGACATCTTGTCAGGTATGAGAATTACATGGCAGTGGAAATGTGGACTGCAGTCTTCTCAGTTAACACGATGTGGTTTTGGATAACATACCTACAAATTCTGCAAAAAAATATTAATTCAAGTCGTCAACTGAAAAAACTGAGGTTGCAGCTAAAAACTTAAACATGATTGGAATTTGTAACAGTGTGAACTAGAATAGAAATGAACAACTAAATAGTGTTATTAGTAATGTACTGCCTTGCCAGCCTTAGCATACCGACCAAAACACTTGAAGGAAAGCAGAAGACATAAGTTCTTCCCAAAAATTCTTGTTTTCTGACAGTACAAAAACAGTAAGACATCCAATTACTAATGCAGTTTCTCCACTTCCCTGGGAATTACTGTAGTCCTTTCTTTAACATAAGGGCAGAACATTCCCTCTACCATTGTAGTATATGGGAAAGTACTGAGGAGTGTCACTCTTCACTTCTTTATTTTCATAAATACTTACCTTAACCCTCCCGACAAACAGCGAACATTTGTAAAGAGGATGCTGAGCTGCAAACGCTTTGCTCGATGGATACAGGGCTTCAGCGGCCTCCAGTCTTTGAAGTAACTTCTCCACATCCTTTAATGCTTGGTTCTGAATATCCACACAGCTATGGCAGTACATGGAGAGACAGCCGGCACACACACATTTTTTGCTGTTATTGTCTGATATACTACATGGTTCACAAAAGTCCTCTTTCCCATCACCACTAACACCGCTATCACTTGACTGAGTGGAAACTGGTGCAGGTAACTGCCTCAAGTCACCTTCCACTGTCGATACCTCTTTCCGCTCAAATCTTAAAAAATACACAGAATAAAAATTGAAAGAACATAAACATAAGAACAGAATAACATTTTTCAGCTCATAAACTTAAAACCAGCATAACCTGAATTCTGAATGTACCTGTAGCTCATAATGTCATTCAGTAAATCTGCCACGTTCTGTCTAGCCTTGCAAACATACTCATCTTGCTCGGTGGGTGTTCTGTCAGCGTGCCATGCTTGCAGTTCTAACCAGATCAGGTCCTTCAACTCATTTTGCCAAAGATGCTCTTCCCGGCTCAACTGAGAAGCAAATGAACTCAGTTAAACTTACAGTACTAGTTAGAGAATAATTTTGAAACAAGTTTAGTGCTCTAAAGAAGTACTTTTGAGGCCAACATAACACCTCTAAATTTATAGACAGACAATACACTTGAAAGCATATTGATCATTCTCTCCACAAAAATATGTAATTCAAAATAAATGACCAATTTTAATTATACTTGCAAAACTTTCTTGGAGTTGCAAGCACCGCAATTCTATATTTGTATACTAAAAGCCCATTAGACATTGGAATAAAATATAAAGCTGTTTTAAATGTATTTCAAAATATTTCACAGAGAAAAGACTACCAAAATGTGCTTACATGACGGGAATTACAAAGAAAACAAAGTCAAAGTCACTTTCAGTACTTACCATTTTGAGCCTTTTTCTACAAATTTTAAACTGTAATTACAAAGAAATACACTAAATGCAACTCCAAAACAACTCATTATCTGATATCATACCTTAAATTGACTTCAAAAGTTACCCAAAGAACCTGAAATTCTTCCAAAATGCAAACACCGAGTGAGCCTCAGTGCAGCAAAATCTTCTCTCTAAAATAAAACCAAATAATAATAATAATATTACCTAATAACATAATAATAAAACAATACACAATTTGACTCACATGTCTTCTTGGATTTTTATCATTCTGTTTATCACTACTGCCCATGCGGATGAGTTTAGAAAACATGTTGTAGAAGTCTACTCGTTCATCCGGACAGTCAGCAGGTTTATTTTTCAGCTCTGACTTCTTTTTCAATACATTGCAGGCAACAAGTTTTGATGTGAGGCTGAAGAATCGATTACATGTCTCCACCTACATAACAAAACCATCATCTTGATACCAAGTCGTTTATCCCAGCAAATGTTAAAGAAAACAGACAAATACAAATACAAATTACCACTACTACTACAAGATAAGATCACAAAATCTTCATCTGACAGAATACATAACAAGGTCTCTTATAATAAGAGAAAAATAAAAATTATACATTATAAAAATTAGAACATACTCATTCTAATGCAAATACAAACACGCTTCTCACATATTGGTATGTGAAAACAATACAAAAAATTGACTTTGGGGGAAAAATGTAACAGAATACACTAATTACTGGCTGTTCTACACACACACAGACAAAAATCAACTCATAAGAGTAACTCCTTTGGAGAAAAGAGTTACGGGTGAAATACGATTTCATACATCCTTCAAATAGGGGTACAGCAATACAATAAATTACATAATCACGACATACCAACACCCAGAATTAAGGCATCAATTTAAAATCTGGAGACGGAAACAAAATTGTCATTAACACTAAGACGTTCTGGAACAAACAGTGATCACGTCTTTTTAGATGCATTTCTACAAAATCTACAGTACTCTGATTACGTCTGTCTTATAACTGGATATCAAATTTTGTAAATTCAGCGATACGATATTTTCTACCACACACAACACGTTTCATTACATGCTACATAATTACAACATACTGACATACTAAATCTCTATCCAGGTTTGTTAGATTCTACAACCACCATAAATTTGCAGAATAACAAATCTAGAATAAAATCCAACTTTGTTAAATTTAATGTTCAGACTTATACTGAAGTTTAATCAATGCACGACTAAGTGATGTAACTAGGATTTCATTTCGGAGGATGCTGTGAAAAATCAATTAATAGGGACTAAATCACATTTCATAGATTAAAAATACAATACGAGATTTTAGGTTCTCGTAGTAGTGAAGATGTAAATTATGGTCTTACGGGTCGTAATCCTTCATGGACTCGTTGGTAGATACCTTGGAGGAACACTGTGTCTCCTTCTTCAGGGTTACAATACGCTCCTCCAAAACAACGGTATCTACCAACAGCTTCTTATAGCATTACATCCTAGAAGATGAATATCAGTATTCAAAATATAAGTATGATGTCAACATACACACTGGTTCTGCCATCATAAAATGTTCCTTTGAAACCAAATTTTGTCATGAAAAATACCTATCTGATTTATATTATACACTGTGCACATTTAAACAGTAAACACTCATTTAATGAAGCATGACTGTACACTTGTTTCTCATGCAATAGGTGACAATGACTGTCTCCTAAAATACTTAATACCTGATTTGTTTATAACATTTCAAGAAGGGAGTTGAATCCATAAATTGTACTTCTAAATAGTGTTATTACCTTTATGGCTGGTTGTGGTGGTACAGCAGGCAGACTCTCAGCTCTGTTTTCACCTCCATTTTCCATATTATGTGTAGGGTGTTCCACACCAGAAATATCCAACTTCAGATCACGTTCTGATCCTCGTAATAACTTCAGTGTCCGCTTGTTGCGTTTGTTTGATTCTGGCCGTGAAAGCTGGTCTGAAATTTTTGTAATTATATTTATGTAAGTGGAATTCAGATATTTTTATCAGTAAGGAAGAATAAACACTCTACGTACACCACCACTAAGGAGTACACATTACTGAAGACAGACAAGAGTACAAAGGTGTAATCCTACGGAGTACATTTTTTCAAACACACTCTTTGTGTTATTTCTGCCATTCTATATAATCCCTTTGATTCCCAGCATTGTCACATCAGCCATCAAGATGGAGACAGTATGCTTCTCTAAAACAATGGCATCTACTTACCAGCACACACAGTGCCAGAACCCAGATCATCATCATCACCACTGCTACCATCATGAAAAACTCAAATCTGATATTCTTTGCTGCATACCTCACTGAATGTGCTTTTATTGCATATATTTACACAAACATGATTTATGTATATATTGGAAGCTAATCACAGTACAAGCACTGCAGAGTCAGAAATGCTGCATTTCATTATTCACCACATTAAAAAAAATTAAAATAAAAATGGTAGATCTTAACGAGTTTAATAATTTGTCATGTATCAATGACTGACACAAACCAAAATTATATTCACTCAACATTCAGAGTAGACCCCTTAATACCAAATTTCATCTAAGTCTGGTTAGTAGTTTCAGGTGAAACATATAGATGGGCAGATAAAACATAACCTTCACATTATACATTAATTCTATATTCTTTGTGTAATGAATACACAAAAAAAAATATTTCACAAGAATAAATGTATCTGTATGTGCACACCCCGGTATGTGTCTGTCACGCTTCATAAATTTTGCATATACAAAATGTTGGGGAGAGGGGGAAGAAGCCCCTTCCCAGTTCCCATTTGAGCATAATACTCACCAGTTTCCTGCTGTGTGTTGTTTTCTGATCTTTCCATGAGTTCAGTAAAATACAAACTGTCCATTGTATTTCGTCGCCTTGTTTTGGCTTGGATCAACTTTGGTACACTCTTTGTGTTACTGCAGAACACAAGAAAAGTAATTAGGCGCTTTATTAATTTGACAGAAAATGGAAAATAAACAAAAAGCAAATATATGAAACAGAATAAGGCAAGTAACAGTAAGTTCTGGAAAATTTACTGGCAGCTATCACTCCCTCAAATTCTCAAACTGCCTAAACAAAAAGCCCAGACGAAATTGTAAATTAAAACAATGTAAAGCTAGTCCAAATTTTATACTTGACTGCCTGTGTAGAAGTGCAATGAGTTAGTAGATTTTTACATGAAAGGTAATAAATAATGAGGTTTTCATTATTAGTAAAACATAAAATAAGTAACTGTGTAAAAAAAGTTAAATGTAAAGGCTTCAAATTCCGAATTCGAAAACCGGTTTTCAAACACATCATTGACTCATATCGCAGGACCGAGTTTTGCACTTTAGCTGGGCGAATAAAACATCGTCCAAGATATAAGGAAAGAAATTTCTACAAAGAAACATTTTAGAACCTTACCATAATTCCTCTTTTTCTCGCTGTCTCCTTTCTCTCTGTCGACGAGATATGCGTGTTCGCGGTGGGGTGGATCCATAATCACCGAATTCTTTCAATATATCATCACTGGGGTATTCGCCATCAAAACTTCCTTCAATGCTGTCAAAGCAGTGGGGCGACAAATGATTTCCGTTGGCATGATCAACATTCTTGTTCACCCTAAAATAAATTCTTGATTTGTGAAAAAAGAAATTCAATTCGAAACATTCTTTTCACATACCCCATACAATGCTGAAAACTGAATTGATAAAACCAAGTGCAGTGAAACTTCCAACATCAGTAATAAAGCAATGAACTTGTTTATATAAAGGAATATACAGCGTAAGAGCTGACATAACTTGTCAGTATTAAAGAGTAACTCGTCTTACCCTTCATCCTCAGAACTTTCTGGGCTAAAATTTATTTTAATCCCCACTCTCTTCTTCCAGTCATCATCTGCCATATGTATTTCTTTGGCCTATTTTGCTACCAGTAATCAGTACTAAAAATGTTTAATTAAGGTACACACTAGTCGGCGTCAATCACTTCAGTCGGTATATCCTAAACATTGCCGAAAGAACACTTCCAACAGTCCTACCAACATAACTCATTTCCAGGTTGAAAAGTTTCTAGCTGTCGTGTATAGTTTACATGTTTCAGGCTGATTTAAATACCAAATAAATACACATACAGATCGCAGTTTTTTGTAAGAAGTAGATTGCACTAACCCGCTTCAACACAGTAACATTTGTATTCCGTCTTTGGTTGACAATTGCTACTGATTACAGTCCGTTTGTATAAAACCAAAAGGTTCATTAAGGTCTTCACACACGACCCAAATAAGTAACCCCGTGAAAGACCTGCCCTGCACAAATATTTTGACTTCACCTCAGAACCTTCAGACTACGTTTCTCCAAAGATCTGCTTTTTATCCATTTACTTACGGATGTCTCATGAGACTTTCCATAATAAAGTAGTTTCAAATACAAGCAATTTTGTGCAGTTACATTGGATCTTCATAGTTTTGAATTATTTTAGTTAGGCGAACATGAATTTCGTAACCTCACATTTCCGCTATGCCCAATAGAAACTAGCAAACAGCATTGATGAATGAAAATACCAACACCAACCAACCTTAATTCACAGCATCCCATAAATCTTGTTACGAAAATCTATCCAGCAGGGACCTTAAACAAACAAACACACAAAAACAGTTCCAGAACTACTGCTGCTTCAGGTAGCAAACTTATCATCCCTTCCCTTCCACGAAATCACGTTATCTTTAAAGCGTGATTATACTTAACTTGAAGATCAGCACCTGACATTAGTTTCCCTAAAGATTTCCAAAGCACTCTCCTGTTAAGAAAATGCAGTACATACAATCATACTCTGGCATGGAAAATAATCAATCTTCTAATGCAGTATTGGAGTCTGCCTCTTCCAAACAATTGAACGAATATGAACTTCACAATTAAAAAATTACTAGTCTGTGTATCAAAATTAAAACCATTACTTTTACAATTTTTCACTCATTCTTCACCTCAAATACCCACAACTGTCCCATAACACACTTCTATAGAACAGCACCAAGGCCAGTTATTTTGGGCAAGTAGATTACAGTAACAAAGGCCACAACCCTGAAAACTGTCATGGGTTAGAGTCCCAAAGAAAATGGTTTCAGTCACTCAGAAACTAATAACAGAACAGTGCAAGGAAAAAAACTGAGCTAGAATACAGGGACCAAAGTCACAGACCCAAAGCTGTTACAAGCAACAGTAAATCAAAATTATGGGCACACGCTATATGCCTGGACCTTAAACAGCCTTAAGGCACAGAACATGAAAGAAAATGATAATTTAAAAGTATGGCACCGTAATGAATCATGTTTCGCATACACAAACATTAAAATTATGTTGCCATGCTATTATCACAAGATGGTCAATCCAAGTCTGTTACCAAATAGTTGTGTTGAGAAAATAAGATGCATTTCTTTCTTGGCAAGGATATTTCTTACATTCTTGCATGAACTTTCACCAGTATTCGGTAAAGAGGCAGTCAATACAGTTAGTACCCAAAGAAAGCCAACTAGAATGAAGTACTGGCATATGTTCCATATTTTTAACGTGCTACTCATCCACAGAAACATGTAGTTGCAACCATTTTATAAAAGTAACTAAGGATATGTCTGTGGAAATAATGAGCAGGACTACACTAAGATAACTGAAGGGTCAACAGACGTGCTGATCTTAAGGAAAGGTTGCAGTCTTTGTGCTAAGGGCTGTGATTTAGCATGGCATGATCCTATATAAAATTTAACCTGCAAAACCAATTCAGCTGCTGATGGACAGAGAGAGAAAAAAAAACAAATTGAAATGATTTTATTACTTGTTTTGAATATCCCTACGGCTATACAGAAAGTACTTAAAAAACTAATATCTTCTGTCTCATTTTTTTTGCACTTTCAATCCAAATCTGCTGCTTTACAGAATATCCAAATCTGAGTACTCCCTATGTCTCTTCAAAATAGTACAAATGGCCTGTTAAGGAATATCAACTTACTTTAAATCTTACAAGCTGGGATTCAATTATTTTTGTAGGACTACATATACATACTATATATCCCATACCAGAAAAAAAATATCAGAAGTTTTCTTATTATACTTATTAAGAAGTAAACCAAAATTTCCAATAACTATTTTTAATATTATTTAGTACTTAATTAACTGTTCAAGCTGATATAAAAAATTAGCTTCATGTTAACAATATTTTTCTTCTAACAGGAACAAGAGAAGTACAAGTGCTTGATGTAATCATTTTTCCAGTATAGGAAAAGTGTCTTACAAGCTTCAACAAAGCTTCAATCTCCATTCACCAACTTTCCATTACTCTTCTTCAAAAGGCAACTTGGTTAATAATTGAATATTTTAAAGACATTTCTCTACCAGTGGCTTACGCATTGAATTATCAACTACTGCAGTCAACAAATGAGAGCCTACTATTCCACTGTTAATGTCAAAGAATGGAAATTGGAGAGGAACACAGGACTTGCGTTTGCGCACCAACAATTGTAGAACTATATACAACACAAATCTTAAAGCACCAATCAGTACAATATTAGTAACATGACTTAAGTGACAGTGAAGAGATTAAGGTTTGGAAGAATTCTGTAAAATGGCACTGCACATAAGATCGACCATAGATTTTCAGCCATCCAAACAAAAAATGAAAGTATTCAATGTGACAGGTGTAAAGCAGACATCAGTTTACATAAAAATTTAGGTTACACATACAAAGTTTAGAAACTAGCAGTCAAGTAGAAATTCAAAGCTGTATTGCTGTAACAAGAGACAAGGCATATAGCACATATAAAACTAGTGCTATTGTCAGTGGGTTAACACGTGGTCACCAAATACAGCTTTGAGCTTCATAAAAATTCTAAGACTGACCTTTGAACCTGGAAAATAAAGAAATGGAATGCTACAACAGAGAAGACAAAACAATACCTTATATTTAGCATATGAAAATGAGTATGTTTAAATGAATTACTACTACACAACTGCAGTCCAAGAAAACTTCCTAATGGAATCAAAATTATATATATTTTTAAGTGAATAAACCTCTCCCTTTCTGAGCTCCATATAAATTATTACTTCTCTTTTAACTGGCAAAAGACTTGACTTACTGAAGTTATTTGGCATGAACAAATACACTCTAAAAATGAATGCACGAGGGGGCCTAATCCCAGATTTTATGCAACTGAACGTAAATTTATTTAGTTTCTATGTGTGTTCAAATAACATGCCAAGGCTCGTTAAGTGAATTTCAAGTGTAAGTATTCAACAGAAGATTGCAATTAATATTAAAAGTTGTAAAGCTTGGCATCAGACTTGACTGTTACTAGAGACAGCAGTTGATTATAAAAATTATTGCATTGAAAAATAATTTACAAACATCTGAAATAATCAGACAACCTGCATTTTCATTAACAATACTATCAGTATACCTTTAAAAAGTCTTTTTCATAATATTAATTCCTGCTTCAATCATCCTGTGTGTGTGTGTGGGGGGGAGGGGCTCGGGGTGAGGGAAGGGCAAACATACCAAGGCAACAATTTTTAATATAAGATATGTCCATTTCTCCCAAATATTCGCTGAAAAGTGCATGATACACCATGGCCACTTTCCAGGTTAAATGATATCTTAGGCCGGATGATTGCTGAATAGTAAGTTATCAAGTCAACATCATTTGTTGCAGAAAACGAAAATGATTCTCCATCAGAAGTTTCAAATGCATGGTAACTGTTGCACCAATAACAAGAAACACAAGAGTTGCCAGCATAACAGTAATCCTAATCCCATGTGGTTCCCAGTTTTGTGAAATAAATATTGCCATCAACACTGCCCACAAAAAATATAGCAAAGTATTTACATTTCTCTTTTTCATGATGACAATTAGGAAGCCCAGACAAAAAGAGCACACTATCACCCTTACTACGAAATTTCTTGCTTTTCAACAATTACCATACATGTGAATCATTTCCTTACTAAATTAATTTTCAGCAACATCAATCTCACTGATAAGTTCAATTTTAATGATCTGTTACATCAGAAATAATCACGAAGGTAACACATCAATAAAATTTGGATGTGTGTGTGTGTTGCAGTTCCAATCAGTGCCTGTAGCTTGGCTCTGCTGACTCTGATGCAGCTATCAATAAACCATGCCCTTCCAACTGGTT